GTCATTTATTAAAATTGGAATTCAGAGTGCACATGGGGGTGTACTGATCAGATTTGCATTTTAGAAAGCTCACTTTGCCATCATGCACAGGATAGTTCATCTTTTTTTTAATAACTTTTTTTTATTGAAGCACAGTTGACTTACAATGCTGTGCCAAGCTAAAATGGTAAAGTTTATGTTATGTGTATCTTACCACTATTTTTTAAAAAATCAATAACAAAAAATACTGCAAAAAACCCGTCTTAATAAAATAATACTCTTTCGGGACTTCCCTGGTGGCACAGTGGTTAAGAATCGGCCCGCCAATGCAGGGGACACGGGTTCGAGCCCTGGTCTGGGAAGATCCCACATGCCATGGAGCAACTAAGTCCGTACGCCACAACTACTGAGCCTGTGCTCTAGAGCCCATGAGCCACAACTACTGAGCCCACATTCCACAACTACTGAGCCCACATTCCACAACTACTGAGCCTGCGCGCCTAGAGCCCGTGCTCTGCAACAAGAGAAGCCACTGCAATGAGAAGCCTGTGCTCCACAACGAAGAGTAGACCCTGCTCACTGCAACTAGATAAAGCCTGCACACAGCAACGAAGACCCAACACAGCCAAAAATAAATAAAATAATACTCTTTGAAACAACTAATAAGTCAAAGGAGAAAGCATAATGGAACTCAGAAAACTGAGTAATAATGAAAATACAATCTACTGAAATTTACGAAACGAAGCTAAAACCATGCTCAGAGAGAAATGCATAACTTTAAATTCATTCCTTAGAAAAAAGACTGAAAAGAACCAATGAACATCCATCCCAGGAAGCTGAGGGGAAAAAACAGCAAATTAAATCCAAAAAAATTAGAAGGAAACTATCAAATTAATTTTAAAACCACAATACCAAATATCAATAGTCAAAAATGGGTATTTTAGGGCTTCCCTGGTGGCGCAGTGGTTAAGAATCCGCCTGCCAATGCACAGGACACGGGTTCGAGCCCTGATCCGGGAAGGTCCCACATGCCGCGGAGCAACTAAGCCTGTGCGCCACAACTACTGAGCCTGTGCTCTAGAGCCCTCGAGCCACAACTACTGAAGCCCTTGTGCCTAGAGCCCATGCTCTGCAACAAGAGAAGCCACCGCAATGAGAAGCCTGCGCACCGCAACGAAGAGTGGCCCCCGCTCACCGCAACTAGAGAAAGCCCATGCGCAGCAACGAAGACCCAACACAGCCAAAAAAAAAAAATTTTTTTTTAAAGTTGGTATTTTAGAAAGATGATAAACCTCATCTCAATTAAGAAAAAGATAAAACACTAACAGTCGAAGTCAGGTATAAAATAGGGACTTCACTACACTATCATCGCCCAAAATTACACACCACGCATTTTATCACAGAGAAACCATCAGACTAATCTGGACAGAGGGACAGTCTACAAAATTAACCAGCCTGGACACTTTAAAACTGCCAATGTCACCATAAACAAATTCAGTATGAGAAACCGTCCTAGAATGAAAGAAACAAGAGACCCCTCAGCTAAATGCAACGTGTGATCCTGGACCTTAGACCACCGTGAAGGGCATTGAGAGGACTGGCAAATCGTGAGTGACGTCCGCAGACCGTGGTTAAGCTTCCCAACTTTGGTAACTGTCCCCCTGATGTGTAAGTGAATGTGACTGTCCTTATTCGTAGGAAACACACACTGGGCACAAAGCGACATGATGTCTGCAACCTACTTGCATAGTTCCAGTTCAAGGGGACCCAGGGCAGAGTTCAGCATTCAGTTCTGAGCTGGAGAAGCTTCAACTAAGGAAGGCCTGCTCCCCGTCAAAGCCAAAGGGTTGGTGGTTGACTCTCCCCACCTCCTGTCCCCCCACAGGAGAGGGAGACCCCCAACCCATGAGAGCATCCGGAAGACCTGGAGTGCACAGACTGGACCTTGAGCGGAAATGGAGGACAGTATGGCCCTCTATGACCCCGAGGCTGAGGTTCTTCCCAGCCCCATCCAAGGAGACGCCCAGCTGGGGCGGCCGCTGGGAAAACAGGCCTGTTCCCAGCCGGGCGGGCTCTGATGGCCCAGCCCTTTGCCCTGGAGAAGCACTGTGGCCCTAGCTGGCCGCCTGGCCCCTCAAGGCCCAAAGGCTTTTCAACAGGCAGGGCAGACTGGCCCGACCAAGACAGGAGGGGCCAGAGTCCGGAGCAGGAGAGCTGGGTTCCCAGCCTGGCGTTCCAACCTGGGATTGGGGCTCAGGTCGGGCTCCTCTGAGCCTCAAAGCTCCGTCCCCCACTGCCTAGAGGAAAGGCCCAGAGACAGCTTCAGAACCACGTGCCTGTCCCCTCACCCTTACTTGAGCCAGCAGCCAGGGCTACCTCGCTGGAGGCGTCGTGGAGCCATCTGAACGCTGTTGCCCCTGTTCGTGGGGTCAGCGACTCAGGGAGAGGCCGCCCTTCGCCTGCCTCCCAGGTGGGATGGGTCAACCGTGGCTGCTCCGGGGGAGAAGCCTGGAATCCCAGCCTGCTCCCCGCACCCTCGGCTTGCACCCGAGCCCAGGGCCCTGCAGAGGTGTGAGCTAGCTGCTTACCCGGAGCAGGAGGCGGCGCCGTCCACCAGACCCCAGGGCGGCAGGGAAGCGGTCTCTGCGTCTCGTTAGCGGGATCCCTCTCCTGTTGCCCCTCGCGCCTCGCCCGCCTGCGCAGTGGGGGAAAGCGGGCCGCAGCTGCGCCTGTCGGCCCTGCGGGGCCCGGCTCCTCCATCCCGCACACCTGGGCCAGGTGCCCAGACCCGGGAGGCCCGCCCCGCCAACAGCGGCCCGTGGAAGCGTGTGCGCCCGGAGAGCCGCTGGCTAGGGAGTCGTTGCTCGGGCGCCGGGGCGCTGCCCGCGAGCCCAGGGTGAGGCCGGCGCTGGCGCGGGGAGGCTGGAGGCTGCCTCCCTCAGCCGCGCGGCGCCCCTTACCCGCACCCCTGCACGTGAACCCGCGCGCCGCGAGAGCCCGCGCGGTTGGGCGCCCACTTGATGGTGGCTCCAACTGGTCAGGTTCCCGTCCCCTCTTCCCTCCAGAGACCTCACAGCAGTGGCAGGTCAGCTTCCCGGCCCTTCCCGTTCTGCGGAGAGCTGTCCGCACCTCTTCTGAAACTGTCTGCGGGCTCTTCCCGCCGCCCTCACCCTTCTGTTCCGTTTCTCCCCCAGCAGCTCCGCTCTCCACACAGCGCCACAGCGGTTAACAGCATGGGCTCCCCGCGCAGAGGCACGTCGGCCCAAAGCCGGCCCCGCAGCACCAGGTCCCAAACCGAGTCCTCCTTAAACCAGCTCCCTTGCTGAGCTGGTGATTAATCTCTATCCAAAACTTTATCCCCTTTCTTATACCCTCTGGCCTCAATCCTGTGCTAACTGCACACTAATCAACCAGCGTCAGATGACTACAACTGCCAGTTGTCAATAACATTGTTAATGTGCTAAAACTGCCATCATAGATACCATTACCACACAAACTCAGGGTGTTTCTCCAGCACAAGATGAGTTCACAGACCCCTGAGCCATGGGCCACCCGGCCAGAGAACCCTAAACCAGAGACATCCTGACTCCCGAAACTACCATTCATCACAGAAATGATTAATCTCAGCCTCTCTGTTCTTCCCTTAAGAAACCACCTGGAGTGGATCTGAGGCTTGTCTCCACTCCATTGCTTGGGGCCTGCAATAAACACTGTACGTTCCTTCACCACAACCTGGCGTCAGCAGATTGGCTTTGCTGCACGTTGGGCGAGTGGACCTGAGTTCGGTTCGATACAGGACCCTCTCACTACAGGCTCAGTGCTGGCCCTCGGTGAACAGATAGTAAACAAAACAGACGCTTTCAAAGTCTCCGTTTCCTCGGCTTTGCTCCTTCCCCTCTCCTCTCCCCGAAGCCCCTCTGCATCCTCCTTCCTCCTGCCCTGAGGCTGGCACTCACTCACCTGCCTGCCCGCCTGCGGCCCTAACCTGGCTGGCCCTCCCTGCTCAGCAGTCGGTCTCCTAGACACCCAAGCCCTTATTCTCCTGAACAGGAGGTCTCCCAGGGTGGAAATGGACCCTCCCGCTGCAGGCGGCTTCACACACACACACACACACACACACACACCCTCTCTCTCTCTCTCTCTCTCTCTC